GAAAGAATATAATAATATTTACAAGTCTAATCGCCAGTAAATGGAGGAATTAGTCAGCCTGTATATGTAAAATACACTGAGCATAGTAGAAAAATATCGACAAGATTGCCTGCAATTTATCGAGCTCATTACAAATGTATGGTAAATATTTAATAAATAAATGCGTAATTTAGATATAATAAGATAAAACACCTAGTTGACATATTTGAAATATTTGTATGATTTCGATTTGATTGAAAATGAATTGGATCTTATTTCGATTGTTGATTCATAAAAATCAAGACAAGCCGTTACATGAAATCCCATGTTTGCCATTGCGATGCCGTACTCACTGATGCAAAACCAGCTGAATGCTTAGAACAAAAAAAATAAACAAGTTTACTTACACTCAATTTGTGCAATTAAATGTTATAAGCCTATATAATAAAGTAGCATGTAGTAAGCTATAGCATTTGACAAGTAAATACAAAATATTCAACTAACCATTTGGAATGCATTTGAATCGAAAACTATAGAGATAGTATAGAAGGTTCGCCAAAAAAAACACATACATGCAAAAGAATATCATCTTGTATCTGTATGATATATCAATCTGTTTCATTTATCAAAGGAAATAAATATTACCAATAGTATGCCAATATTGTCGGCCTTAAGCCGATGGTGCAGATATAAAGTTGTAATCATGTAAACAGACGAAGATACAAGAAACAGGACAAAAATACGCTCATGTAAGACTAGTGGCAAAGATAAATTGTTTCCTATAACTTACTGTAGTAATCAACATTTGCCACGATGGAGATTGCAAGCAAAAATAAATTATCAAAAAGATAAGATGCTAAGCACACTTGAACAATTATTTTGAATATGATTTTGTTTGTGGTAACGGTGCGAAATGTCTTATATAATCTTACATAAAGTAACCATGGTATAATCCTTGGGGTTGAATGGAGAGCAAGTGCAAATCTCCAAATAAATCGCCCAGGAATTATGCCAGTTATTGCACTTATACTGGGAAAAAATTCAGTCACCTTTGGTAGCACATAAGGTTTAATTGTCAAAATCATACCCCACAATTAGCTTCTGTCACTTCATCAAAATTTTGATAGAGGCCCAATATTAAGCACACAAATAGAGAAACGAGAGGTATACTGGTTATAAAAACGCCATAATATGAAAGAGGAATTTTTATGTAAGGAATTTCTGAATTGTCAAACTTCGATAAATCTCTAGTTAGTCCCCTCATAATAGAGTTCATACAGCTTTCACAATCAAATGTGCAACAAACAGTAGTTAATTTAAACAATGTAAAAAAATATCAAATCAAAATTCTTAAAATAAATATACAAAAAAGTATTTAAATTGTATTTTATTCTAAATAAGTAGTAATTTGTTTTAAATTTGTTTTTATAATTAGTTATAGTATAAAATGTAGATTCAAATTTAA